CCAGAAGTAAAAAGGGGGAAATATTCCATTTCTGAGCTCAAATGAGAGAAGTCTGGGATTCCAACACCGTTCATACCAGCCCAGCCCAGCCAAGACCTCCCAAAATCCAAGTGAAATCCATCAGAAATCCTTCAGGAGGGGCTCCAGGCTCTGGAGTTCCCTTAACTTTGCCTTTGATGAACTGGTTTGGAGGCCATGTGTCCCCATAGGTCTGCAAGGAAGAACAGTCACACCACAACTCTCCGTGCTGTGGTCCAGCTCGATGATGATGATGATGATGAGGAACATCTGGTGCTCAACTGAGTCTTTGATTCTTCATCCTGGAGAGGAGAAGCTCCAGGGAGAGCTCAGAGCCCCTGGCAGGGCCTGAAGGGGCTCCAGGAGAGCTGGAGAGGGACTGGGGACAAGGACACAGGGAATGGCTCCCACTGCCAGAGGGCAGGGATGGATGGGAGATTGGGAATTGGGAATTCCTGGCTGGGAGGGTGGGCAGGCCCTGGCACAGGGTGCCCAGAGCAGCTGAGGCTGCCCCTGGATCCCTGGAAGTGTCCAAGGCCAGGCTGGACAGGGCTTGGAGCAGCCTGGGACAGTGGAAGGTGTCCCTGCCATGGCAGGGGGTGGAACAAGATGGTCTTGAATTTCCTTCCCAACCCAAACCATTCCATGATCTGAAAGAATACATAAAACAGGCAAAGAACATTTGGAATGCCCCTTGTTCATTTGGAAAATCTTCCCTTGATCTCAGACAAGGAGAAAAAGGAAGGAGAATGTGAGCAGGATGACATGAAGGGTGAAACACTTGTCAGAGGAGAAAAGATGGTGAAATCACACTGGCATTGATGGAAATGGGGATAAAAAGTGAGAATCCCACAATCTGTGTCTAAAAATCAATCCACAACACAATGAACATTCCCTTCTTTTTCTCCACTGTGGAGAAAAATCTGGGACAGGGCTTCAGGGTGAGATTACCTGGTGCAGCTCATTAGAAATGCAGAAGATAAGTTAAACAAACAGATCATGTCCCCGTTGCTAAAACAATGGGGCCAAACAGCCTGGCACAGCCTCCTCCCCTGGCTTCTGGCTTGTTCCTTGTTTGTCTCCTCTCTTTCTCCATTTGGAAAGGTAGAAGAGGCATGCTCAGAGCTCCTTCAGTTGAATTCACAGTGTTCTTGGAGCTTTTAGGGTTGAAAAGCGCTGCTGATGCATCCAAGGATCCGTGTGCAGCGTTTCAGCAGGATTTTAATGACTCAGGGAACACCACGCCAGCAGTGAACGTTTTTAAAAGCTTCACCTCCCCTTGCAGCCTGAACTCAGTCTGGCCTCTCTCTGGGTTTTAACACACTCCATTAACAGGATTCCCCGGCTGAAAGAGAACGTAGGAGGTGGAGCACAAGCCTATTTCGGGACATCCAGCACCATGCAATGCACAGAAGTCCCCTTGTCCCTGCAGACTGGAGGATGGAGACAAGCAGGATGTGTGGGAGAAGGGGAATTAGGGAACGCATGTTCTGTACCCTGGGGTTTTTTTTTCCCCACACAACTGCCAGTGGGGCTGTGAGAGGGATTTTGCTGAAAATTCAGAAGGAGAATCACACACACAGACTTTGAGGGGTGGTGGCACAAGGATGTACAGGACACTCACACACGTGTTAGCTGTCCTTATTTTTTGTCTTTTCCACCATAAGCCAGCGCAGGGTGATTCACAGGCAGAGGTGGATTCCAGCCATCCCCTTTCCCCTGTTCTTGCCCTAGGAAAGGTGTGCAGGTGTGGGGAGGTGGGGCTGGGGCTACAATCAGCGCACAGCTACAGCCCCTGCCAGGCTGCTGGTCACAACAACCCCACGGACTGCTCCAGGCTGGAGAACTGCCCTGTGGAAAAGGATCTGGAGGTGCTGGTTGAACATGAGCCAGAGTGTGCCCAGGTGGGCAAAGAGGCCAAGGGCACCTGGCTTGTACCAGGCACGGTGTGGACACAGGAGCAGGGCAGTGCCTGACCCCTGTGCTGGCACTGCTGAGGCACCTCCAGCCCTGGGGGCAGTTTTGGGTCTCTTGGAACAAGACATGGAGGGGCTGGAACCTGTCCAAGGAAGGGAAGAGCGCTGGGTAAGGGTCTGGAGCCCCAGGAGAAGCTGAGGGAGCTGGGAAGGGGCTCAGCTTGAAGAAAAGGAGGCTCAGGGGGGACCTTGTGGCTCTGCACAGCTCCTGCCAGGAGGGGACAGCCGGGGGGGTCGGGCTGTGCTCCTAGGGAGCAGGGACAGGAGGAGAAGGAACGACCACAAGTTGTGCCAGAGAGGGTTTAGGTTGGATATCAGGAGGAATTTCTTCACAGAAATGCTTGCCAGGCACTGGATTTGTCTCTCAAAGAAGATGCTGGAGTCCTCATTCCTGGAGATGTCCAAGGAAGGACTGGACGTGGCTCTGGGCTGGGTGACAAGGTGGGGACTCGATGGTCTTGGAGGTCTTTTCCACCAGAAATGATTCCATGTTCTGCAGGGTGGGCACAGAGCAGCAGCCTGGCCTGGCTGTGCCGAGTGTGCGGGGACACTGCACGCCCAGGGGTGACAGAGGCGCAGGCGTCAGCTCCCTGCCCACCCAGGTGTCCCCAAAACAGCAGTATCGCTCTGCCCTCCTCCCTCCCGGGCATGTTGCAAAAAGTGGGGGGTGTCTCATAAACAGGTGACCCCACCCCAGTAAGCCAGGGTGTGTTGCTGGGAGTCTCTCCTTCCCACACCAACCCTCAGCCCATGGGAAAGGCTGCTGGGGGGCAGCTGGCACCTGGAGCTGATCCACGGCTGCCCCTCAGCTGTGGGGTGTGTGTCGGAGTTGTCCCACACAGGTGTAAATCCTGGGAACCTTCCCCCTCTTTTCGGGCTGCCAGGTGTTTTATCACACAGATAAGCATTTCAACACCCCCTCCTGCTGATTGCCAGGTGTGGATTGGGGGTGGAAGCAACTTTCTCTCTCTCACACACACACAAACAAGCACAGGTGAACCCCACCTTTTTCAGTTTTTGGGGGGTGTAGTGAGAATTTGGAGGAGTGGGGTTTCTCTCCCACCAGGGTGAATGCAGATTATTGACCCTGTGCTCCTCCTCTCCTCAATAATGCAGATTATTGACCCTGCCTCTCCCCACGAGGCAGAGAGTGGGGTTTCTCTCCCACCAGGGTGAATGCAGATTATTGACCCTGTGCTCCTGTGCAGGGTGACAGCAGGAGGAGTGCTGGGGGGTCACGAACCCCACGAGGCAGAGGATGAGTTTGGGGGGTACCAGGAACCCCACGAGGCAGCAGGATGAGTTTTGTCTGAGGGTGTCACACACACAGGGACAGGGACACAGGCTGTGTCTGCGGGTGTCAAACACACACAGGGACACAGGCTGTGTCTGGGGGTGTCACACACACAGGGACACAGGCTGTGTCTGCGGGTGTCACACACAGGGACAGGGACACAGGCTGTGTCTGCGGGTGTCACACACACAGGGACAGGGACACAGGCTGTGTCTGCGGGTGTCACACACACAGGAACACAGGCTGTGTCTGGGAGTGTCACACACACAGGGACACAGGCTGTGTCTGGGGGTGTCACACACACAGGGACAGGGACACAGGCTGTGTCTGGGAGTGTCACACAGTGTCACACACTGTCTCTGTCACACTCACTCTTCTACATGCTATCTCACACACACTCAGTGTCACCTGTCTGTGCCACACACACTGTGTCACATGCTGTGTCACACACTCACAGTGTCACACTCTCAGTGTCACACACTACATCCAATATTCCCAGTGTCACACGCTATATCACACTCACAGTGTCACATGCTATGTCACACACTCTCAGTGTCACACACTATATCACACTCACATTGTCCCACACTCTCAGTGTCACTCGCAGCCTGTGTCACACACTCAGTGTCCCACACTCATTGTCACTCTCGGTGTCCCTGCCATGTGTGCATGTCACATGCTCAGTGTCACACTGTGTCACACACTCTCAGTGTCACACACTACGTCCCACTCACATTGTCCCACACTATGCCCCACACTCTTCGTGTCACACGCTGTCCGTGTCACACGGTCAATGTCACATGCTCTCAGCGTCCCACACTCTCAGTGTCACCCGCTCTCCGTGTCACTCTCAGTATCCCACACTATACCCCGCACTCTCAAGTGTCCCACACTGTGTCCCACACTCTCAGTGTCACCCGCTGTCCGTGTCACACACTCAGTGTCACACGCTCAGTGTCCCACACTCTCAGTGTCACCCGCTGTCTGTGTCACACGCTCAGTGTCCCACACTGTGTCCCACACTCTCAGTGTCACCCGCTCTCCGTGTCACTCTCAGTGTCCCACACTACACCCCGCGCTCTCAGTGTCCCACACTGTGTTCCACACTCTCAGTGTCACCCGCTGTCCGTGTCACACACTCAGTGTCACACGCTCAGTGTCCCACACTCTCAGTGTCACCTGCTGTCCGTGTCACACGCTCAGTGCCCCACACTGTGTCCCACACTCTCAGTGTCACCCGCTCTCCGTGTCACTCTCAGTGTCCCACACTACACCCCGCGCTCTCAGTGTCCCCCACTGTGTTCCACACTCTCAGTGTCACCCGCTGTCCATGTCACACGCTCTCTGTGTCCCACACTGTGTCCCACACTCTGTGTCACCCACTGTCTATGTCACTCAGTGTCGCACACTGTGTCCCACACTCTCGGTGTCACCCGCTCTCCGTGTCACTCTCAGTGTCCCACAGTGTCCCACACTCTCGGTGTCACCCGCTCTCCGTGTCATTCTCAGTATCCCACACTACACCCCGCGCTCTCAGTGTCCCACACTTTGTCCCCTACTCCCGCTGTCCCCGCCGTGTACCCATGTCCCCGTTCCGTTCCGTTCCGTGCCCGCCCCGCCGCCGCTCCGCCCCCGCCCGCGTCGCGCCGCGCGTGACGAAGCGGCGCCGCCCCCA